CAGTATTTTTACAGTCTTTACAGTTAAAATATATGTTTATTAAATAAAGTCTAATGTTACAACTAATCATGGATCCCTTTAAAGAGAGCGTTTCAGTTTGGCTTGTTGTGCTGTAAAGTCTTAACAATTCACCCTGAAGATGTTTGAGAAGTTTGTGCATTTGACTTTGAAATCTTTGTTTACATTCTTCAGTCGCTGTTATTAGATATTGTTATAATGAAATGTTTACATATTTCAACATTCACACCACATTTTCTGAAACCAGGTGCCCAAATGATTCCCATCAGCTGGTGTGAGATGCAGTGCCCGTGGACGCAGGCCAAAGAGTTTCGGAAAGTGGCGCGCGTGCAGCCCGAGTATCTGCAAGCGTGAGAGCCTCGAAAGTCTTCTCCACCACTTGGAACACACAACTTCTCCTTCCTTCGAGTAGTCCCCCCCCCAGCCTTAGTGTCCCGGGGTGACATAATCCTTTGGCTACTTCTGATTCTGTCTTTTATGTGTTTTTGTAAATAGCTGTTCTGCTGCACATTTTTGTCATCCTTTTATTGTGCTCAATTGAAAACACAGTATAGACTAAACTGTAGATACTATTGGATTCTTATTAAAGAATTTTTATATATATATTTTTTCTATCAGAAGTCTTAAGAGCATGGGACTTAAGTTTCCGGTAAAAGGTCAGTGATTGAGCAGAAAAGCTGCAGAAAGAGAACTGCGCTTGTCTGTCCAGGTCAGCCTCCAGCTGATGATTTGTTGGGGCTTGATCATAAAATAAAATGACATTTTTCTTCTCACAAGAGAGCAGTATTAGAAAGCCCTTTCCTAAATCAGAAGTTTAATGCAGCTACTGTGTAAAGAATATTGAAGTACAATATTTGATAGTCAGATTCTTGCTTTCCAGAACATTATAACTGAATGTTTTTGAGCCAATGAGCTGTATTTTTCATGTTTATTACAATGAACCTGTTATTATGCTTTCCTTWACTTCACATGTGCAGGAATAAAATTAACGACTGTCACAGGTTTTTGTCTCTATTGTTCATTTCTATAAATAATTACTGTTTACCTTATCAAACTGTATTTGATATCAAAAAGAAAAAATAAGTAGGTCCTCTGGAAGGGTTCTTTAATGAATATTTATTTTTTCTTTTTGATATTTCTACCTGGATTACTGAGATACAGCAGGAAATTTTGTATTTGACGTTTGCCTCAGTCAAAAACTTTCATAACTTAAGAAAAAAATTAGATGAAGCCATGATGGTATTGTAACCTGTCCAGGCTGTACCCCTCCCCTCACACTGCCTGCTGTATATTACATGTGTACCAATGACTCTGAAACGAAGAAGCAGTATAGATGGATGTTTTTTTTTTTTTCAATTTATGGAATAGGATTAGGGCCAAGCTGCAATTTATTTTATTTTTTTAGAATTCTGACTCACAAGTCAGAAAATTTAAGAAAAAAGTATATATACATATATACAGTATATATATATATATACAGTATATATATATAT